TTAATTAATAGAAAAAACGTTAGGACTCTTTAGAATTAATTTCTACGAAACTTTGTAGCTTATTTTTGTACTATTACGAAAGTAAAATGTTGAAAGCCAAATCAGAGCGCTATGGGAAGATAAATTGCCACTAAAACCATTTCTCCCACGTAACTCTTTATCTTGATGAAAAATAGAATGTTAATGGAAAATACATTTTGTCAAATGTTGCATTCTGTCATACGGGTGGAGTCACACTTGTAGCGAAGACAATGCCAAACATCGATAATCCTGAAGTGGAGTTTAACATTACAGATATTTCTAGAGTTTTCCAGATGAACTAGAAAAATGGCTATAGTATGCCTTTTCATACATACTTATCAGATCTTTTTTTATATCACGAATATTTGAACAATTAGGCAATACAGAATTTTGTTAAGATTATCTTACAACGTGGCTCCTAATCTACCTCGAATATAATATAAAAATCAAAATATAGTAGCACAATGCAAGTTTTAATTAGATAGTAAAAATTGATTTATAAGTTGTCAATCGTTGATCCGTTATGTCAACATTGTCCGCTCCCGCCCGCAGTGTGCTCGTGCCCTTAATTGTTTCGCCTACGCCACTCATTTTTGTCAACTCTAAGCTTTCTCTAATAGACACAATCATACGATGATTCATCAATGAATATAAAAAAAACATTTATATTGTATCGTCTAGAAATAATTATAATAGTTTATTATTATAGCATTGCAAATGTCAGCTGACATTACAATGAAAGTCCTTGCTGAGAATTTGAGTAACCATGGCAACCTTCATCCTTTGCTGGTATTGGTTTGTAGATTTGTCCCTTTCCCGAACAATATTATTCCACTTTACTTGCCCCTTAAGTTTAATAGCGTGAAAGTGTATAGCGTAAAGCATGTCGTAAATATCGTATGCTATTGCTATGATTGCTCAAATCCTATTTAAAAAATATTAGTATAGATATACCTATCTTCATAAGTTTGCATGCCGATTACCGTAGGATTCCACTGCATTGATATTTGCACTAACACATACTACTGTCTCTGTTTTGTCAAAGATAATGAAAGGGATAAACTATACATAAGTGGCAGTGAAGTTCCACGGTTATGTTCCCATGGCATTAAAATTGCTATGGTATTTACATTCATGGGCCTGATTAATCAATTGAAGTCAGTTACGTGATAAGTAGCATAGAAAGTCGTTTGACAAGTTTCGGTTGTCTGTGAAATGATGGGAAATTAATTTAACAACGTTTGATTTAACAAGAAGCCTGTAAAGCACGCCTTTGAAACTATCGCAAAACTGTTAAATCTGGCTTTGATTCCTGTCAACTTATAGGTTACACTACTCGACTTTTAGTTGACCAAACCGGTTGAATTGGCAGCAAAACAATCGACAATCGCACAACAATTTTGCGTAGTTTAGTTAGCGTATGCCCTCTAATATTTACTCAATACAAGTAACAAATGTGAAAATGATAATTTTGAAAAAAAAAAAAACAAATCATGAGAAAGTTTAGATGGATGGATGTTTGTCAGAGTTTGTATCCTAAACTGCTGAATGAATATCAATGAAATTTGACATAGATATAGAGAATAATCTGGAAGAACATATGGACTACTTGCTTTTGTTTTTTTATTACCACGCAAACGGAGTCGCGGGCGAAAGCTAGTATTACATAACGTACAAAATGCATTATCTAGACAAATACTTAAATAACTATCGACTAATCAATTTAAAGTGTTTGAACAAAGCTGTCATATTGAACTACAATTGTTTTATCCACTGTTTTGCTTGCTAAACTGGGCAGTTACCTGCACTGCATCGTATATTTACAAACATAAGAACTGATCGGAAGGAATCAATATCGTTCTGGTATTTTAAAACGCAAAATACGCAGTAAAAAGTCAAGAAATTATGAAGTCAGATACTCTCCAAAGGTGATAAAATTATTTACTTGTACAACGCAATAGATGGATGGATATTTATTAGAGTTTGTCGCCAAAACAGCTGAAATAATCTCGATGAAAATTGGCATGGATGTAGAACATACTATGAAATAATACATACGGTACTTACTTTTGTTTTTTTTATTCCACTCCAAGAGAGTCATAGGCGAAAGCTAGTAATACAACATATATTAACTGGCCTTTAATGGACTACTAGATGATACTGTCAACTAGCCTCGTGCATGATTGATGATGTCACAAGAACATTATACACTACAAGGATGTATTACATAACACTGCTCGGAAAGGACTACAACCTCTTGTAGGAAAACGTTGAGCCAATCTAATGGCCCTCAAAAGGACGCCAAGCTGCCCTTATGACAGTCACAAGGAATCTATTGTTATTATTATTAGAATAATAGTTGAAATGTCCATTCTCTCGTATTTTCTTTTCATCATTTTAGCACTAAATTACGTTGCTAGGTGTAGCGACTTCGTCTGTATGAAATTATAAAATAATAAAAATATTAGCCTATGTTATTCAAGGATAACGTAGCTTTTTAATGATGTAAGAATTTTTAGAAACGGCCCAATAGTTTTTGAATTATTTCAATACATAAAAAAAATCTTTCCTCTTTATGATATTAGTATAGATAGCATAAATACACAAAAAAAGTAAACATGATAATTATGCAACTCACATCTTGTAATATACAATTCATTGTTTAAGCGTTCGATTATTTCGGTTTTGGTCATGTTATCTGATATTTTTAAGCGTATTTATTCCGCTTCGTGTACCACCCTCACTACCGTAACAGAGGGTGGTTTAGTCGGCAGTCTAACATTCCGGTAGGGTTTCATCCTAATTTGTTACATGAGACGGTTAACATTTTACGACGTATTAGATCTACAGCACGTGCTAGAGTTTTAAATAACCAGAAAGGTTTTGAAACCTCCTTTATAGTGTTCTAAACTTAAATGGATCGTAGCTGATTTAACAATGTTTTAGTGCGATTGTCGACTGTTTCACAGCCAATTCAACTGTTTAGTTGCACAACTAAAAAACGAGTAGTGTGTGCTCCATATAAGCTCACTAGCTGTTCCCATGCTACTTCATCCGCACAAAATTATAAAAATTTCATTTTATTGTTCACATTTGTCAAATTATCAATTGAAAATATCAAAATGATATGACATGATGTCAAACCATGGCAACCTTGCTTCCTTGATGTTGGCAACAACTTATGGTCTCTTTCCCACATTAGAGTTTTTATCCAAAATATTTACCCCTAAGTTTAACGGCGTGAAAATATATAGCCTAAAGCGTGACGTAAATGTAAGGCTTTTTATTGCAAAATGAATTATTCGAAAATATGCTGTGATTGCTGACATCTTAGACAACAAAGAAGTGTGTGTTTACGCTTTTTTATAATAGTATAGATAGGAATTAAAGCAATAGTAAACAGTGCGATAGTTTCTGGTGTGCACATTCTTTATGTTACCGTTATGATAGAAGTTCCATTCTTAAATTAGAGAAGAGATAATTCATATTTGGTTATACAATGGCTGTAATTACGAGGTTAGTTAATATGTTAAAACAAGCTGTTGCCCGTGACCTCGTTCACGCAATAATAAGATAAAAAGTAGCCTATAATATGCCCGTCTATGTCAGCTACACATCAGTGAAAGTCCAGTCGAAATCTGCCCAGCTGTGTCGGAGATTACCAAAAATAAACGCAGCTTGCGGACAGACAGACAGACAAAAATTTTTAAATGCGATTTTAGTTACAACGCAAATACATCTTCCCGAAATCTGGAATGTTTTTTTTTATTATCATAAATGCGAAAGTTTGGATGGAAAGATGGATGTTTGAACACTCAGGCTACTCACTTTTGTTTTTTTTTAATTCACGCGGACGGAGCGGCGAGCGAAAGCTAGTTTTATTATATGTATAGAAGATTAATAAACATTCCGTATGACAGACACGTCTCGTTCATTTGTTTGAGTGAAGTATTTTGTGTCGGAGCAATTACTGTTTATAATTGTTCGGACTGTTGATTGGCGTTGATAATTGGCTTTACCAAAAGTATTGTTTGAAGCCGGTCATAGCTAAATGACGTTAATTATTCATGCACGCCAATTATTCTTTTGAAATTACGTGTGAGACATTTTCTCTTCGCATGTCACATGTTCTGTACTGCGTGGCTAGATGCAATAAACTTTATGAAGGATCTTAATGCTGGCTACACACGTCTTTTAAATACGCAGTTTGATAACTAGGAACTATTCGATTTGATTGACAGATAACTTTTCCCCTACACACAGTAATGCACGGTTTGAGTATAAAGTTAAAACGCTAAATCTAAACGTGTGTAGCGAGCATAACAATGTTCTTTTGTTTTTACATTTAATGTGCAACTCAGATTTATTTAGAAAACGATAATATTTAAGGCATAACAGTTATTATTTCTGAACTGCATGTTGATCAAAATAGACTAAATCTTGTTACAAAATATCAGCAAAATATACCATTTAGAACTGGTTCATAATTTATTTGACAAATTGAACATAACCTGTCCTGAGAGTTAATTTGATTCCAAATTCTGCAGTTAAAGTACCTTAAGGCGATAAGTAACAACTGATTTTATACCTTCATCGTTATTCATATTAATTATAGGGTTTACTACATGGAATACTAATTCTTTTGGTTTAAACAAATTTTAATAGCTTTAACGTAGTATTAACCATCACAGAGGCGTTAAATACTCCCTTAGTGGAGACTAAAACACCTACGTTATTCCTTATCTTTCAATTAACTTACGGCAATTTTGAAACGAATCACGGACATTGTAAATGGCGTTAACAATCTGTCAGACGTCAAAATTTTAATGGAATTTAGAGCTTAGCTTGGTCTTAGGTAATTTAAGGCGCTGTTATATCAATATTTTGTCAGCCGCAAATTTTAAGCGTTGCTTTGTCTTTTATTTGTTTAAATTCTAAATATTTTATATATTTAATAGTATGTGTTTCTTTGTCTATAGTTGCGGCAATCTGTATACTACTGGAGGTGGGGGCGCTGCCGAGTAGACGCGGCGGGTTCACATGCAACGACCCGGCACTCTCGTACCCTCACACGGGGGATACATTCTCCATCTCCTTTGTAGCTGCTATCACTGTCATCGTTCCCTTCCTTGTTGTAAGTATAAATGAAATAATACACGTACATAAGTGAGATATCTATCATTAGATGCTTCTATGTACTATGTACTACGTAAAAAACCAATATCTACTGATACATACATTTAGAAGTAATATCAGACGTTTGTTTTATACTTGCTTTCGCCCGCGATTCCATCCACGTGGAATTTGAAAAAACAAAAATCTTTATCCTTCCAGACTATCATCTACATCTATACCAAATTTCATCTAGATCCGTTTAGCAGTTTAGGCTACAAAGTCTAAAAACGACCATCTAAACTTTTGCCTTTATTAGTAAGATTTTGTAAGGGATGCCTATCCTACAACCTTTTGCCCAATGCTAGCAACACTCCAATATTTTTACCATTAGCAGTTCCTTCATGAATAGTTAGTCTATCTTCAGTCATATATGACGATTTTTTAATTGCTTTTTTTAATATCTGGTATGTTTGTTTTAGATGTGGGGAGTGGAGACGATACTCCATCAAGACGATGAGTATACGATGAAGAAGAACAAGCTAATATCGAGCGCGAAGACCGCGTCTTTGATGTACAGAGACTATATCTACGGATCAGTAGTCAATCTGACCGTACTGGAGGTTGTCAAGTGCGTGGTGGGATCACCCAGACCGACCTTCTTTGATTTATGTCAGCCTGATAAGGCAAGAACTTGCAATAAGTAAGTATACTCAGACTTAAATTAAGCCAAAATAAATAGCTTAAGAGGGGGCACACTTTTAAACTATCGCACAACTGTTGTGCGATTGTCGATTGTTTCGCTGCCAATTCGACTGTTTTGCACAACTAAAAATCGAGTAGTGTAACCTCCATATAAGCTTAGAGAAATCAAAGCAAGACTAAATAGTTGTGCGATTGTTTAGTCAATGGCGCGCTCTTAGGATAATACTTTGAGGCTGATAAATTAATCGATTATAAAATGTTTGTAAAAAATGATTTCTCCTATCATTATTTTAGTGTTTGAAATATTTCATTTCTTTTTTCTTTGTTTAGTTCGGAGTACGTCAGCAGCTACACTTGCACCTCCACCAAGTACTCCAGATATCTTCAAATCGATTCCAGTCGAAGTTTCCCGTCTGCACACGCGTCCCTTTCCATCTACTGCGGGTTCTTTATTGCTGTAAGTATTAATATATACGTACTCGTATGTTATAATAAATAACAAGGCATAACTTAACCCTAGTCTTCTTCAAGGTTAATGACTTTTACTTATTATCCAACCGCTGTACCTCTGGCATTCTCTCATCACATTTCTTGGTTTTTGGTTTAGTGGTACCTACAACGTCGTGCGTTCAGTTGGCGCAGCAGGTCGGTGCTGGTGGTGCCGCTGCTGCAGACGCTGGCGGTGCTGTACGCCGCAGTCTGCGCGCTCACCCGCCTCACAGACCGACGTCATCACTGGTGGGATGTCCTCGCTGGTGCTGTTATGGGTTTTATCACTGTTCTCTACACGGTAAGTTGGTAACGGCTTCTGTTTTTGTCTCCTGAATATTGGAATCTATTAAGTGTACTTCAAACCAAGTTTTATCGGAGTGTTCATACCAAAGACGTTTATGAACTATGTTGACTAGAGAAAGGGAACATTATACCAATAACTTTTTTAAACGGTACGGACATCAAAATTATAACAAGCTCCTTCTTTTGCTGTAAATTAAAAAAAACAGTGTCACGAATTAACATAAAAATTTAAATTTTATTTAATGACACTTACAGGCAATTAATTTCAATACAATAAATTATATTGACATATGGTTTTGAGGACCTACTAATAGTGAGCGTGAGTGGATCATGTAAAAAATGTCTCAAGTTAAACTATGCTTCCTCTATACATTTTTTTAATCTCTTTGGTTTATACAATCAACTTTTTTTATTGAACTTAAGTGTTTTTCTCTTGCAGGTACTAGTTCTTTGTAAAAACTTCTCACAGCCGTCAGTAGTGAGTACTAGTGATATCAGCAGTAGTGACGGCAACAACCACCAGTCTGTGCGGCGGCTGCTGGCCAGCGAGCCACGGGTCGTGGTGCCCTAGCCCGAGCCGGTCTAGACCGATCGGTCTCAACTTGATAGTCTTGCGGTCTGAAGTGAGACTGCTAACAATCGACAAGGATGATGTCTCTGTTTTAGACTGTTTGAAATGCGCTTTGAAGTAATAGTGATGTTCTCCAGCTAGTCTAGCGCGGTTTGAAATGGATAAACTCTTAGTGAAGTTTTAGACGGCTAATGTTTTCCAAGTGATTTGTGGCAGCTAACACCATAACAAAATAGTGACAAGATCTAAAGTCGGAGAAAGAGACAAATGTGTGTATAAAGACGATATTTTAGAAATGTAGAAGAAGATTAGTTACGAAATAATTAATTTTCTTTGATAATATCCGAATAAGGGATTGTAAAGATCTAGTGTGATTTGACAATTAGATTTTAGTTAATATAAATTAGTGTCTAGAAATTACGTGTGTTAAATCAAGAGAATTTGGTATTAATTTTCAAAATGATATCATATCAGCTAATTTTGTATATTTATTTATTGCGTAAATGTTGTTAACGCGTAAACAAATTACATGCATTGTCAGGCTACAACGAAATTACGTAATTCTATAAAAGAATATCAACAAAAACTGCAGAATGTGTGAATAAGTTTACCTTCAAAGATGTTTATTTGGGTTAATATGAATTCAAACGTGTTCAAATGTATTAAATACGCGTAACGCAATGCAGTTTTCAACGTTAACAAAATACTGAATTATTTATACTATCTTAAGTATTTATTAATTTAAATACTTCATGATATATTTTTTTCCCAGTGAAGATGTTTGAAACTTAACATTTATGTTTTTTAATGAGAGATGTTACGTTTATGAATGCATAGAAATTATTATTTATTGTGACAATATGACTGCTCTAATTACGTTTAAAACTTTTAGATTTAATCTACGATATGTAATTGACAATTATTAGTTAGTTTTCGTCACTTGTAACGTTGTAGAAGAACATAGATAATACAATAAAATATTATGGGACCCAAATTGTAAATTGTCTGATAAAATGCAACATGTAAAATATGTGATGGCAATATCGGATTTTATTCCCTTATCTCACAGTGACGTTATTTTTAAATTTGAGCCTCTATCAGCCAGTTGTAGGACAGAGCCTTAATAATTTACTAAAATATGTATTCAAATTTGTAGAAAAAAAATTAGTGTGGTGCTTTACAAATATAGTTTGGTGCTTGAAATTGCTTTTTATATTAGATCCAGTTTACATAAAGCCTTTTTCCACTAGCGATTGCAGACTGTAGTCCAAAGTCGGTGTCAAAGTCGTGCGGCTAGTCGCTGAATGCAAATGACTCTAGTATGAATAATAGTACAGTTTCTCTCAGTAAAATAGTTGGTTACAAAACTACAGTAAAATGTTTGAAATAGTTAAAATTATACATGTTTTTTCTCAGTAATGTAAGCTTTTAATAGTACTAGTAATTATTTAAAGGTTTGTTCCATTTGGATCGCAACTGAGACCTTTTCGTTTAGGTTGGATCAAAGTGAAATAAATTATTTAATAGAACAAAATGGGTCATAATTCTACTTACAATTTATTTATTATTAATTTAAATTGTAATTAATTTATTTTAAAACCTTCGAAAAGTATTTATTGTACAGTACCTGTCTAGTCTTAAGTGATATTAATTTGAGTTTTAGTTTTATGATACGAAATTATGACATTTTTGCCCACCTATCTGTTTACCGTGGGGTGACGCTCACAAACATATATCTATCCCACTCTTTCCAACGAGTGAAAGAGATAGCAATATGTTTGCGAATGGCAGTCGATTCCCAGGATTCAAACACATCTTTTGTAAATGACTTGAACAATGACATTCCTTCGCATTTAGTTTTTATTTTCGCCTAGTTTGTTAGTGTTGTAAATATTTTATTAGTAATATCTGATTGTATTATGTGAATAAAATGACTTGATGATTTTAATAATTTGTTTTATTACTACACTCTATCGTCATGTTTAATACAAATTAACTATAAATATATGAAATTAGCTCATCTATCATTCCGATAAGTATAGTATTTGTCAGGTATCTTAACTGCTCTTGATGCGAGTAACTATTCGAACACGCAGCGGCCTAAAACTCGTACTTTAGGTGTAGAGGGAAGCTGGAATTCGTGCCGTTGAAATTGAGCCTTCAAAATGTTTGAACAGAACTATACATGAAATAAAGCAACCAAAACTTTTACATACTTTTTAAAAACCTCTTAACCCTTATATGCATGATTTTTTATTTAATTATGAAACCAATATTTCAGTACATGTTTTGTGTCACAGATTAAGGAAAAAATAATTAAAAAAATCTTGGTTTCAATAAAAACTATACTTTTGTTTATAGAATCTGGCAACAATATGCATTTAAGGCTCTATCATATTTAACCTCTTTGCTTTTCAATTCCTTTCCGTATCAATTTCATTAATGTTACTTACTGTTATGATATTAACTAAATGAATTTATTTTCAACTCGTAAACAAACTAACAGTTAACGGTTAATTTACTGTAACACTGAATTATCGAACAGTAAGTATAATTGTTTCGTTACTATAAAAATATCAATACCACAGTGTTAGAGTGGAGTGTTGATCAAATGTTAAGAAGCAATTATCGTCTGTAACACCTTGTAATTAGGATGATTATCCAAATGACGTATTTAACGCTTATCCATTGCACTTGTGTTCAAATTAAAAGGCCATAAGGAGCGAGAGATTCTAGGTCAATGACCTGACCCGCATTGCTGTTACTCGGTCCTGTCACATCAACTAAATGTCTAATTTAAATATAATTATCCTAAAATCACATATCTTATACTAATATTATAAATGCGAAAGTTTAGATGGAAGGATGGATGGATGGAAGGAAGGATGTTTGTTTGCGTTTGTAGCCTAAACGGCTGAACGGATATCCATGAAATATGGCACAGGTTTAGAGCATAGTCTGGAAGAATACATAGGCTACTTTTTATCCCGGAAATATTACCGGTTCCCGTGGAATTAATTAATTTAGTTTTTTAATATTTACGCGATCATTCTGCAACGGTTCAACATATCTTATTGAAATTTGACACAGATATAAAACAAAGTCTGAAGTACACATGAGATTAGGTTCATCCCCGAGAAACGTCCGGTTCCCGAGGGATACGTAGCTATATCTGAATTCATTCCTTTACTCTTCCTCTTTCAACCAATCCATCAATACTTCTTCAGTCTTCCTTTGTCGTTGTATCCATCCACATTTCTATCGATATTTTTGTAATCAAAAAGGTTTTGTTTATACCACATTTATCTTAAAGATAAGCCGTTAAAATACTGTGTCGAATATCTGTATTCTATTACATCTGGATGCATAATAAACATGAACATAGATACAAGAATTCGTTATTTACACACTGCCCACATAATTCCTATTCTAATTGGATTGGAAATAAATTTAAATTTGTATAGAATACACGATAATTTATAATTTAAATCGCCGTTGCAGCGTACTGTCGTGTATTTTTATTCATTGGTTTAAAAATTCAATTTTGTATAAACCACTTTAATGGGCTTATAAATAAAGATACCGCATTGCTTGTAATATTGGCAAGCTCGTGTAAATTAAATTTATTAATCTGTGCATAGGAATAATATAAAATAATCTGTGTTCATTTGTTGTTATTTTAATAAATCTTACTTCTTACTAATATTATAAATGCAAAAGTTTAGATGGATGGATGGATGGATGTTTGTTAGAGTTTGTAGCCTAAACGGCTGAACGGGTTTCGATGAAATTTGGTATAGGGGATAGTCTGGAAGAACACATAGGCTGCTCACTTTTGTTTTTTTTTTAATTCCACGCGGACTATGCAAAAGTTTAGATGGATGGATGTTTGTTAGAGTTTGTAGCCTAAACGACTGAACGGATTTAAATGAAATTGGGCATATGTGTAAATGGTAGTCTGGAAGAACACATAGGCTAGTCACTTTTGTTTTTTTTTTAATTAAAAAAGGCACAGTCCGCGTGGAATTCCACGCGGACTGTGTCGCGGGCGAAAGCTAATAAAACTATAATTTACTATGTAAAATTTTATCTAGAAACCATTTTAATAATCTAAAAATATATTATAACTTTCACCAACACTTCATGACCACGGGCGGAAAAATAAAACAGACAAGGATCGTTGCGACTCGCATCGTGTAAACGCACTCATGATAGCCTGGTACTCGTGGATTACTCATCTAGATATACACAATGAAAATACTAAGGGCCTGTCCCACTGGCTGATAGAGGCTCAGATAGCTTAAAAGTGACGTCACTATCAGATAGAGTACCAAAATCTGATATTTCCATCACATATTTTATACTTTGAATTGTTATCAGACAATTTACAATTATTGTGGGACAGACAATAAGATAAATAGAAAGTTGAGGAGTTTTATTTGAGTTTCTATTTTGGAATTAGTTGTTTTTTGTTTAATTATTTTATCTGAGTTGCTCTTTGCCGCTATTTAGTTTTTTTTTCTCTTTAGATTGATAAATCTGTTATGGTTATTAAGCTTATTTTATTATTACTAGTGTATAGCGACCTCCGACTATCTACGCTCCCTTTTACATCTTGGGAAGGGGGGTGGCTGAAAACCAGCTCGACACTGGATCTCAACCAGTATCGGTTAAGCTGAGCCTCCCCCTTTTGCCATCTGTTATAATTTTTTCGTGTATGTTTTTTTTTTTGTACAACTCTGTGTATTCTTGGATGGCAATAAAGTGGTTTTTATTTTTTTTATTTTATTTTTTTATTTATTTTTTAAATTAGTTTAAAATATCATCAACTTAACCCATAGTTAGATTTTGGATGACTGTTTAAGTAGATACTATGTTTTTAAACGGGCTTTGAAGTACCATACCTTAAAAAATGGTAGAAGAAAAAAGATCTAAAAGAAGTAATTCCCTTTTGCTTAAAAGGGATAGTGAGTTTAGACAATATATCGCTTTTGCCTTTTTCTTTGTTTATTCTAATGAGTAATAATTGCACTTTCAAATTTTATTTTCGTTATACCAGTGTTGGAATTTGATTTACACTGTTGTGAATAACTTAGCGTATATTTAGTAGTTTTCATAATACGTTTTGTGGAATGGAATAGTGGATTTTTTAGTATAGTAGCTAGTTTTGTTGTTCTATCATTTAGAGATTTCGTTTCATAAAACTTTATGATTCATAATCTTTGTTAAGTAAGGTAAGGTTAAAAAAAAACAACTGAAATCTTACATAAAAGTTTTATTTGTTTTTTTTTAACGTTTTTTAAAATATTTTTCTGTTGTGACGTAGGTCTGTAAGCGCTTTAATAATCTATCTATACTATTATAATAAAGCGTAAACACACTTCTTTGTTGCCTAAGATGTCAGCAATTACAGCATATTTTCGAATAACTCTATTTTAATAAGAAGCTGTACACGTCACGCTTTAGGCTATACATTTTCATGCCGTTAAACTTAGGGGGTAAATATTTTAGATAAAAATCCTAATGTGGGAAAGAGACCATAAGTTGCTGCTAATATCAAGGAAGCAAGGTTGTCATCATGTCGTCATTTTGACATTTGTAATTGATAATTTGACAAATGTAAACAGTAAAATAAAATTTTCATAATTTTATGCGGATGAAGTCGCATGAGAACAGCTAGTTTAGACTAACTATGGACTTTAACAAATAAAGGACATATCTTAATCGTTAAATAATTCGTTTTGTTGAAATTATTTACGCATGACATATAAAATCAAATTAAAAAAATATTAACATAATAAATTCTTACGACTCTACACATATAATAAAATTGGATTGTCTATTTGTATCTAATCTAAAGAAAAATTCCAGATTTCGGGAAGTTGAGGTATTTGCGTTGCTAATAACGAAAATCGCATTTAATTTTTTTTTACGTCTGTCTGTCTATCCGCAAGCCGCGTTTGTTCCGGGTAATCTCCGAAACGGCTGGGCAGCTTTCGACCGGTAGCTGACATAGACGGGC